AAACTGCGACAGTGAATCGCGTTTCGTCGAATAGTCCATTTCATTGTATCATTTGACATAGCAACCAAATGAGTTTGACTCTGAAATTTTAATATGATCTTACCTATACAGTTGGGTACTTTACTGCTAAATTTCACGATTTTATGAGTAAGTTAAGTGGATCATTTTTGCGTTAAAATTTAATATTTCCAACAGATTAACGAGTTATTTGACTTGACATAAAAAAAATTCATTATTATTATATTTTCCACTTCAAATTTTGTAAAAATGATTTTGTTTTTCTGCTCCTAAACTTTGAAATAAATTGTTAATCTTTGACAAGTTTAAAAATTTAAACGAATCACGAAAGTTAGAAAATGATGATTTATTAGCGTTCCGAGTATTGGGATCTAGGGCGTTACAGCATTGGATCGAACCTTCATAACATATTATTTGCTCTCTCTATCCCTTTTACTTAACGCTTCTACCTTGTGCAAATTTACATTGCTTCATTTACGTGCTTACTTGTGTTTAAACTATTCATTATCATTTGTGTGTTCACTATCATTAAAAATTTGAGTAGTTAGCGAAAAAGTTTTAAAAACCAACTCACTCCCCTCTTGGTTAGCCAATATTGGTCTTTCAACACGTACTATCTGATTTCCTGACTGCAATTGCAACAACTCTCCTGAATTTCGTGCTCCTGCACTACTCCAGCTGTAATTTTCAAAACTCTCCTGGATTGTGCTCTCTTGCATCAACTCCTAGATTGGTGAAATCATTTATCTCTTGTAGATCCACGAAGAACACCGCGTTCTTTAACGACTGGAACTCATGTCACCTTCCCTTGATTTTTAGAAACTCTGACAGATATGTAGGAAGCAGCAATTTGGTATTTGAATTGTGAAACTGTTGTTTTTTACCACCCAGAACAGTTCAATTTGAACAATGATGGTTGAATGCTTCAAAGGATCAAAATAATATGAAAGCAGTGGTTTTTCTTAATGTTCAACCTTAGAAAATACGTTATGTGGCGTTTAAGTATTTATATGTAGGTTAGAGAATGAATGGGTCGGACAAAAAACCTTTAAAAGACGAAATAAAAATTTCCTTAATAACACAATCGCTCAAGCGAAGGTCTAGCGACGGTCCAGTAACAGTCGAGTGACAGGTTGTCGCTTGAGCGAAGGTGATGTGACAGTCTAGTGATGAAGTTTCTGTTTCTAACGTTTGAGCCAAACCTTAGCGAGAAACTAGCAAAAATCCGCTCCGTTTTTCCTTCTTTCCCATTCTCGAACCCTAGACATAAAATATCACAATGTATACTAATTGCACACTACTCATTGACTTTTTACAACATATGAATTTTAGTGCTTTTTGTTCACAGAATAGCCAATTACATTAAATACTTAACACTTTGAGTAGAAAGTCAGTGAGTCAGTTGGCGTCTTTTATTTTAATTCAGGATTAATTGGTTAAAGATTTCTAGAGAATGGTAATTGAGGTTTTTTCTTTCTCGAATCAAGTTTCTGTTCCAATATAACAACCTTAATGGTTCGACCTAACCTTATAGATCAAATCATTTAGGCGACGGATATTGATCTATTTCTCCAATGGATTAGAAGTGAGATTGGATGATATAAGATGAAAGACTTGAAGTGTCATCTGTTAAGGCATTAAGATTCAGAGGAAGTCTTTATGTGCTTAGACAAAAAGATGAGGATATAAATCCTAGATGAAGCTCATTCCACCTTTATGCTACTCATCCTAGTAGTACAAAGATGTATCTAGATCTTCATGATATATTTTGATAGAGAAATATGAAAAAAAGTATTGGATCTTTTTCAATAAGTGCATGGTTTGTCAATGTGTAAAAACTTGATATCAAAATCTAATACGACTATTAAATATTTAGAGATTCTAGAATGAAAATGGGAGCGTATATTCATTGCATTTGTGGTTGGTTTTTCGAAGTCATTCAAGGACAACAATGCTACTTGGATAGTTGTTGATTGATTAACCAAGAAGCTCATCTTTTTACAATGAAAATAACTTTCAATTTGGATCAAGTGGCGCAGCAATACATAAGAGAGATTCTTAGACAACAACGAGTTCTTGTTTCCATTGTATCAAATAGAGATCTAAGATTTACTTTTAAATTCTAGAAAAGTTTATATGGAGCTTTGGGGATAAAACTAAAATTTTCAATTTATATCATCACAAGTGATCATTAACATTTTTATTCACATCTCAATATTAAATAAAATGAGTATCAAAGTCCCACTAAAACTTGTCTCCTCTACAAGGTACTTTTAATAATATCATAAGATGATTCCTTTGCATGGGCATTTGAGATTCTTTTGCTTAAACCTTGTTTGATTCTCATTAACTGGGAAAATAAATGAGTATTGAATAGTATTTTAAGAAAATATGTAGTTAAAAAGTAAGGAAATTTTTTTAATATATGTGTAGAATATTTTATTGTGTGAATGTGTTGTTGAAAATGATCTTGTAACAAATTATAAAATAAATTAATGGATGTCAAACATGCATTTAATAACTTGTTGAGTTTTGAGTAAGTCCACCCTCATTGATAAGGTTGTGTTAGCTTATATGTGAACTTGAACACTTAGATAACTCTAATGCATAGGTTGATAAAAGTTTTGATTTCTAAAGTTGACCTTTTTATTATTCTAATTGTAGAATGCTATGTGAAGGAAGGGAATTTCTATGACTTTAATTCATTAGTAGCATAAACTACCGATGAGTGTTTGATTGGCTTTATTTTCAATGAAAAATGTCATTTTTATCGAAATTTCTACTTTTGAAGTGTTTGATTGACCTTTTTTTTCATTAAAAATATATTCCTAAAATTGGTTACGTGATCATGTTTTTTTTTTTAAACAAGAAAAATATTTTTTATTATGAAGGGATATATGTTTATTTTCTAGACAATTCACACTTTACAAAATTTTAACTTTATGAAAAAGTACAACATTTTCCAAGTTGAAAATGAAGTAAATCAAACACATTTAATTGACAATTTTATGCAAATAATTTCTGCTGATTCGATCTACTTACTCCATTTCAAGCAAAATGCCGACTGTTTACGGAGGTCCTTTGACCACCTTCGAGGATTCGGAGAAGGAGAGTGAGTATGGATACGTTCGTAAAGTTCGATCTATACTGTTCCATTTCGTTTTTCACTGTGTGATCCAATTTTTTTTGTTTGCCTTCATTTCTTCTATTTTCCTATCTGTTATGTCACTAGTTACGTTCGTTGAATTCATGTGATTACTCCAGTTCACTTATAACGTTGAAATTGTTACTTGTTTATTGGTGCGAGTGCTCAGTGTTGTTTTGAATCGTACTCCGTATGGCCCCGAAGTTACCTTAGGGAATTGAGATCCAATGAATCTGTTCTACTTGATTGCTATTTGACATTGTAAGCCCCTCATTTTCATTTTAAATAGGTTGTTCAAAATTGCTTGGATCAACCGGATTTCTCTGTTCGAATCAAGTATAGTTTGTTAAGATAATTTTCTCCGGGGAATTCCATAATTTTGAGGAGATGCCTTAGGCTTTTATGAACTTTCAGAGAAGAACATTAATTGTTCATGTATCTCCAAACAGCCCCACGCCACCCGAAAAGGAAACAACTTTTTGAAAAACAGTTAGGGATATACAAGGGCGGAACCAGACATTTTGTATTGTGGGATCAAAAATTAAAATGCATTTTTTTAAACAACATAACATTAATGGAAGATCACATTTCTACAGAATGGAATAAGATCACATTAATGCTGTCAAAATCCACTTCCTCTTTGTTTACCGTAGAAAACAAAGGAAACATAAAATGGAATAAGATCCCAAACAGAAGCTGGTTCACTTTCACCATTTCTACAGCTTGCATTGTTGAATCTGAAATGGAAAAAAATTAAAGAGAAACATATGGACTAAGAAAAATGCTTACGAAAACTTTTAAAAAGCATAAACATACTGTCGATTTTTAGGATGACAACTGGGAGTCTCTCAGACACTACTGAAGCTACAATCTTATCATTGGTATTCTTCGATGTGGAATTGCAAAACCCTTGCTCTATTACCAAAGATTGAACTAGACTCACTACGACGTTGTTCTTCATATTTTCTATGACCTAATTACCAAAATAGAGAGAAAGTTCAATTGCCGTATTATACATATATTCATACTAAACTCAGTTGTATGTGGATGAGGATTTGTTAAACCCCTAATAGAAGCGTCGGAACAAAGAAGAGATTGAAAAGGAGGGGGTTTACCTACAACTAGTAATGGCAATTGAATGGGTTGGGATTTATGTTAGCTATAGTCTAAATAGGAATGGAAAGGCTGGGTCTTAGTTGCCCCTCTTCAATAATTTACCGTCAGTAAAAAGTTACGAGGTTTCAACTCGTGCATTTTGATGAAGATTGGTCAGAAATGTTGAATTATAATACATAGTTTCAACACCTACAGGCTGCAAGTATTGGTATCTGTATATAAGATATACTGATTGGAATGATCATTTCAACCAAGAGCTAGCACATATTGATTAAGTTAATACCTTCAACCTTTCTAAACACTTGAAGAATTCAAAGCCCAAGAATAACCCCTATAAAATCTAGATTCTTCAATAAAATAAAACAAGTTATCAAACTCCATTTATGAACTCTCCTTTCAATTGTAAAAACAAATATAACAAACAACATTCAAAAGTATCAAGTAAAATGTATTAAATCTAGAAAGTTAGGGTTTGAACAAGAATTTCAGCGTCTTCAAAAATTTTGAAAAAAAAAAAAAATTGGATTTGGTTGGGTCACTTGACCCCATGGGGATACATTTCTTAGCAATAAAATTTGTGCCCTAGCAATTAGCATTTTGCTTCGTTTAAAACACTTGTATATACTTTAATGTTGAAATTGTTCTAGTATTTCTGATGCTACTGTGTGGAATTTTCTTTTTCAACAGGTATCTGGACCCATGGTTGTTGCTGATGGAATGGTAGGAGCTGCTATGTATGAATTAGTTCGTGTTGGACATGACAACCTTATTGGGGAGATTATTAGGTTGGAAGGAGATTCTGCCACAATTCAAGGTTTTATTCTTTTTAAATCCTTCTAACTTTTGCTTTCTTTGTTGAGGGTCAGTTCTTACTGCCTAGCACTATCGTTATCCCAATTTCCCTGTTCCTTGACAAAGAAATCCCTAATCCCTTTCAAAACCAAACAAAAAAGTTGTAACTTCTATGTGTTGTTAATGTCCATGTGCTGACTAATTAATTTGAAATAAGAAGAACCCAATGTTGATCTTTTTTGTGCTTCAATTACAGTTTATGAAGAAACAGCTGGTCTAATGGTGAACGATCCTGTTCTACGAACACACAAGGTTATCATTACATTTTTTAACTTGAAGAGTTGAGATTTTTTAGGTTTATCTATACCAATCAATGCTGAATGACATACTTATTTGCCCATTTTTCAGCCCCAATCAGTGGAATTGGGTCCGGGAATATTGGGAAACATATTTGATGGTAATCAGGTTTGTAGATTTCTCCTTGTCATTGTGCCTCAATTTTACCAAATTTAACAGCTTTTGCATGAAGTTTTCTATTTTTAGCATTGCTTGCTGTCTATCTCAATTTATAACACTGACTAACAATGTTTACTCTTTTCCCTTTTCAATCATGGGCTATATACATAATCAGAGGCCTCTAAAGACAATTGCAAAACGATCCGCTGATGTCTATATTCCTCGTGGTGTATATGTCCTGGCCCTTGACAAAGACATTCTTTGGGAATTTCAGCCCACAAAATTGGGTACCTGGAAACTGATGGACTTTATTATTTTAGCCCCTATTTGATTGCCATTATTTGAGAAAAATTCAATTTTGAATAGTGAATTTTTGGAGAATCTGTGGTTAAAAAGTAAGAAAGTTTTGGGTTTACATTTTAAATATTTTATTGTGTGAATGTGTGATTGAAAATGAGTATGTAAAATAAAGAGTGTTGAAATAATAGTTGTCAAACAGGGGCTTAGTGTTGATTCTAATGGTTTTGGTGCATATTAATAATGCATTGCAACTTGGTGACACTCTTGTTAATCTAATATAATTTTGTGATAGTAGGTGATGGAGATCTTTTAACAGTTGGAGATTTATATGCGGTGAGTTTGACAGAACTATGTAGAAATTTAAGAACTTCATGAAACCTATATTGCATCATCTGTCTATAAATTTACTTTTTAATCTAAATCTAAGTGGGTGTATACCAATATTTTATGCAGTCTGTATTTGAGAACAGTTTAATGCAACACTATGTTGCGCTTCCTCCTGATGCTATGGGAAAGATACCCTGCATTGCTCCTGCTGGTCAATACTCATTGAAGGTTTATCTTTATGCCGATATGGTACTTCTGAGATATTGATATGATCCGGGGTGCGCCACTATTTATCAAGAATTCGAAG